ACCCCCCCCCCCCCCCCTTCCCCCGGCCCCTTCCCCCTCTTTTCCCCCCCCCCCCCTTGCAAAACTTGAGTTAGTGCATATCAGTTTAGATATAAAGACTTTAAATGGGTGACATTAAAGAGAGCTTCTTCCCTTCTGCCTGCCTTAAGCAGGAGCTTTGAAGGAAACACACATTGTAGCATTTTTTTAAGTGTTTTTGATTTTCTTCTCAAAGTTGGAGCAGGAGGTGGGAAATCCACCGCTCTGCACCCCTGCAGCATTTGATGGGCTACATTTAACCTTTCTTACCCTCCCGTGGATGTTACAGTTCAGGGTTTATATGGAGTTGTTGGAAGGCAACAAAACCTTTGGCTTGGATTAAGTGCTCTGATGTTACTCCTGGGAGAGGCAGTGGCTGGTGGATGGAGCTGCTGGCTGGATGTTATTGCCAGCCTGATTTTTGGAGCAGTTGGAGTTTGTTGTGTGTTCTTCAAGTGAACCTGCTGGTGGGTGTTTGTAAGTCCTGTTGTTGCTTTCCCATTTACAGAAAGGAAGCAAGATCCACCTGGTATAATGGGGGGGACTCGCTCAAACATCTACACATTTGAGATAGGAAAAAAAATAATGGTAATTTATGGTTAACTTTGCAAACTAATTTTAATTCAACCTGCAGTGAACCTGTAAGGGCAGTCATAGCAGAGTCACCCAAAGAGAACATTGTCTTCACTGCTCATAACTGTCCTTGCCTGATCCCACTGCTTGAGCGTTGGCCGGCGCGTTGAAATGGTGGCATTTGCCATCTGATGAGAGGACAACCCCCCAGAGCTGATGCAGCTCTTGTAGCTCTGTTCTGCCTGTGCAGCCCTCAGCCCTGTGCCCGCACAGCTTAAGGCTTTTTGCTGTTTTTCCTATCAGGTGTTTTCTGCAGCTGGTACTCAGCATCACCTTCAGGTTGGAAGTGTCTGTAAGCCATCAGGAACAGAGTTGGGTAATTAATTTATTGACTTTCTGAAATAAGATAGAAGATGATTTCTTGCTGTCCTGAAATGTTTTCCTACTTGCTTGTTTGGGAAGAAAGGAAATAGAAACAATAATTTCACTTTGTGTTGTGCGCTAGACTGACATATCTTGGCTCTCGATTAAGATATTGAAAGAAACCCCTTTGAATCTTGCAGTTCCATCCATACTTACAATTTTTTACTGAATTTGATCTGAATTTTTCCATCAATTTAAGCTTTCCAAGCATAGTTTTGAAAAAGTATTTATGAGAAAGGCTTAAAAAAGCTGTGCAATGTCCCTTCTGCCCATTAAACCACAGCAGAACTTTTATTGTGATTTCATTTTATATTTAGCTTTCATTCACTGATGGCTTATCATGAGCCAGGTGCAAACTCCAACACTTTGCTTTATAGCTGTTTATGGACGCACTGGTAGAAGCTGGATAAATATAAGGAAGTCATCACCCTACTGAGCTCTGTAAGGACCTGTAATAATTAAGGACTTACTAAAGCAGCTGTTAATGACTTACAACGTACTTATGATTAGAACTTTAATTATAAATTATTGATGTATTGCTGAGGAGGGGAGTTACCTAGCCAGTAAACGTCCCAGCTTCTGCTACTAAAATGAGTATTTGTGAATGCTTTTAGAACTGGTGACCTCAGAGGAAGTCATGGTTCCTTAGTGACAGGCAGGACTAAATGCACTGGAGTAACCGGCCATACGGGGAGCTCAGCCTCAGCCGGTGCAGCAGATGAAGGCGTCTTCTGGGTGAATGGATGCTCCTAACATCTGGTATCTAAAAAATTAAAACTAAAGAGTTTGTTGTTTTTGGTTTTTTTTTTTTTTTTTGCTGAGATGCCAAACAAGGACAAGACCTCCGAGTGTTGGAGGAAATGGCTTCTGCAGAGTGGACATCACAGGGACCAAAAGGGCCATCAGGCTGTAGGAGACAAGACCTGGGAAGCTCCTCCAGAGGTTATCCTAGAAACAGATATGCAGTGAGGGTAATGAACACGGCTCAGTCAACTGTGTAGCCCAAGGTAACATTTGCTGGTGTCAGCAACCAAAAGTAATACATAGCTCTGTTTTGTAAGACTTGAAGCTGTTTAGGAGAGCAAATAGTATTGCAGGCTCATTAGCTGACGGGATACTATTGGGGAGCCTGGGAGGAACGGTTTCAGTAGGCAGGAAAGCCAAATGGTTATGAGCCAAAAAATAAGGATGTGTAAGGCAAAAAAAAGGGGGTTATTTAGGGGCAGGGGAAGGAAGGCGGGAATGTTTCAACAGGTATGGGCTTCCTGTGGTACTTTACACGTGGAAGTGTGTGGGTGTGCTAATCACTTCTCAGGCTTCTCTGTCCTGTATGGGATGGCTGGGGGTTATGTGCCGGCACTGCTGACTCCTCAGAGCTGTTTTTTTCCTGTGTGTAGAGAAGTTGTGTATTTTTCTAATGTGTCTGTGCACACACATGTGGGGGTGTGTTTGAGGGGAGTTCTGGGCATGGCTAATCACGGCGTCTTGGACTGACACGGTTATTTCTCTAATATATCTCTTAAGTACATCACTTGCTTGAGCCTGACAAACTCCACTGGTGATTTTTGATGTGGGAAGGTGGTTCTTTTGTGCAAGGAGCCAAGGGGAGGCTGGTGCGTCATGAACAGGTTCTCCAGGCCTCATGAGGGGTGGCCTCTTCAGGAGTGAGGAGGTCCCAGGGAGAAACCAAGTAAGTCTCCCATGTGAAGGTTTCTGCAAAGGCTGACGATACGGATTTGAATAATTATTTCCCTCCATTATTTTCCACATCACTTTAGGGTTTTTTTGGGGATGTATTTAGTGTGTAGGCTGCCAGGGTTTGCCACACTCCGTTGCGCTACACAGCCTAAGCCTTTCCACTGTCCTCTTCACAGCAAAATAAAGCTTGTTGGTGTTTTTGTATATTTTTTTTTCCCCAGTTATGTGGGGGCTCTCGTGCCTCATCCAGCCTCCTGGTCCTTGTTTGTTAAGTCTGGTGTGCTTGGTATAACTGTTAAGTCTGTTTGTCTTAATTTGGTGTAAAGATACAGTCAGAATCTCCATAATTCTTACTCACAGCCTGTAGTTTATCAATCATAGGTGTTTATGCAGTGATGGGGCCATCAACCAGGAGAGTAATTTAGTGACACTGAGGTATTTTTCTTTTTTGAGGTCTTACTCCTACCTTCTTACTTTGGAAAATTATAGCTGGACAGCATCAATTTTGCTCTTCAAGTGTCTTAAACTAATTAATACTATCAAAAAGTATAATTCAACGTATTTTCTCACGCCTGAACAGCTACTGACTCCTGACCATTGACTTGTGGTGTCTGGCAGGTAGGCACAGGTTTTATTTCTGATCCCATGACCTTCCTAACCCCAAGCCCTCCTGGTACCAGAGCTCAAACTGCGGCCGCAATGAGCACCAAGGGACCAGGGCTGTGCAGCTGCCTTTCAACACAGACACAGCCACTGGTGTTTTAAAATCACTATATATATTTATATACGTGTGTATGTGTATACATATGCATCTGTGTAAATCTATCTATATAGATATATAGTATATACAAGGAACTTCTTTTTTTTTCTTGTTACTTGCTTAGTCCAGTGCTGTGTGACTGAGTCAAATTAAGAAAACAAACACGGCAGGGGGGAAAAAAACCACACTAAAAATCAAAGCATTTATTAATTAATTTATTTAACTTGCATGTGCATTTGTCTCACCAGTAGTTGGTGTTCACAAAAAAAACAACTTTGAAATTGACAAAACTTTCAGTAAACTTGATGAATACTGTTTAAAGTATCTAATGATAAGAAAGTTGCAGAAAAATCTTCACTTTTACAGCCTAAAATGTGCTGAATATTGAAGAAAAAATCCCCACCAACCCCAACCCCTTTTTTATTCATAGATGTTTAAAAAAGTTTACTTTTGTGGCTAGTATTACAGTTTTGCCTGTATGTCGTTGCCTTTACTGGTGCAGCCTGTTTTCCTGAGTTGTCAAGACTACAAAATCGGAACACCTCGGAAGGCGGTGGGAGCTGCGCTCGCTGCCAGGTCTCTGCGGGTGGGCACCGGGAGCGGGTTTGCCGTGGGGTGGTGGGAGCCCACAACATTTTCTGAAGTGTCTTCTTCAAAAGTGCAAACAGGGTTAAGAAGAGAAAGCAGCGGGGAGTAAGACACAGGGATGTAAGAACATATACTTAATGTTCCAGTTCATATTTATCTCCTCTGTTGTTTTTTTTTTTAATTGTTTCTCTCCCTTCACATATTCTTTAACTTTTTAAGGGCAGTATTAAAGGAGCTTCTCTACTATTGGCAACTCTTGTGTCCCAGAGGACGATCTTTAAGAAACAGCTCCTGAAGGATTAGATGTTTCATTATAATTTACTACAATAAATAACAATTAATTTATTCACTATGAAATTCCATAAGAAAGAAACTAACTGTGTTTTCACAAATTGGCTTTGTGTTTCTTAATGATATTGTAAAATGAGGTCAGTAAGAAAAAAAAAAACACCACCTTGAAAAACATGGCTTTCGTATTTTACATAATTAAAAAGAACTAATCATTAATAAATAAAATTCATTTATCATTGAAATAATTACGAAGCACTTCTAAAAATTTGAAAGGCAAATCTATTTAGGCCTACAGTTAACATGCAAAGTCATCCAACAAGAACACAAAATTGTACCGTAGTAGTCAACTGTTGCATCAACATTCAAAAAGGTCTAGACAGCAGCACGACTTCTCCTATATGGCAAACATCTCGTAATGCATCACAGGGCTCTGTGGGAGCTGGGGAGGATGGGAGGACACAGGCTGGGTGGACAGACGGACTCCTGCCCTCCCGCTCCGCTGCCAGAGCAGGACAGAAATAACGGAGATTTTCTGTGGTAAGAAAACTTAACTTATGGTGGCATAAAATGAAGGGACCACCACGGCATAGGAAGGTGACCCTTGAGCCCAGGTTCACCAGCTGTGCTGGCTCCCAATTCTGGAGAAAGGAGGAGATGAGGGGAGACCCTGACGACCGCTAACATTCAGCAGCAGCTCTGATTGCCGCTGCGCCACAGGCAGTGCTGGCTCCCATCGCTCTTTGGGCTGCCATGCCTCTCCTCACCCCAATGGAAAAGCTGCAAAACTTTCAAACTTCCTAAAGGTATTATTTTTTTCCTGTTTTCAAAAGGGTTAAAAAAGTAGGAAACTTTATCTTCTCAAATTCTTGCTAAGTTACACATATTACTTCAACTAACACAACAGTTACATGACAAAGTACTGCAAATTATCAAAACGTACTGTACAGAAAATTACAAATTCATTTCAAAATACATTGCGCTGCTATGACCTAGATAAAAAGTGCTTTTTTTGTCAGAAAAGTGTTCTTCTGAAATAGAAGTGCCGTAGCCTGCAGTAAAATTGTGGTGGTTCACTCTGGTTGTGCTATCCTCTATTAATTTTCTTTCCAACCTTGTTTGCATTTGGCGCCTTCTGCCTGGACGGCCGCGAAGACGAGAGCGCGGGGGGGTGATGGCCCACGGCGGAGCGGGGCCAGGATGGCTCCCGGGTCCCTCGCCGCCTCCTTGGTTCGCTCTTCACCGCGGTTCCTCTCCTCCCCGCCCACGGTTACCACACAACCGCCGGGATCCCTGCGCGGCCGTTACCTGGGCTCTGCACCGACCTCCTCCCAAAACGTGCCCGGCCTCAGCGGTGCCTGTGCTGCCTCATGAGGGGCACGATGCAAGAAGGGGGCCCAGCCAGTTTGAGAAACGGGTGTCTCAACAGTTCCTGTGCTGTGGCTCTCTGCGAGGGCTCCCGCACCAGCATGGAGTCCAGGAAGGCTCGGAGGATGGAGGAGACCTGCAACATCACAACGGCATTAGAGGGGGACAAGGACAGACGGTCCTAACCTGTACGGGGTCTGGGCCTCTGCTTTCCTTGGGAAGACAAGGACACGCTGAGCTTGTGGGGTGGCAAATGTACAGAGCTGAAGGGCTGTGCATCGTTTATGTGCTGTTAATACTGAACGCACTGGGATACCTGGGGAATGCAGAGGAGCACACAATGCACAGCTGAGCTTGCTGTTGGTGAGAAAAGCAGTAACACGCACTGAGGGCTCAGGTCTGATGTCTAGAAGAACACCCAAAACGGGAGGTACCTAAAGGCTTTGGTACTGGGCTTGGAGGTACCAACCCATACGCAGCAGGGCTTGTGTGCCAACTTGCTCTGGTCCTCAGGCAGGGTGGGAAGCACAGGGAGCAACAGGAAAAAACAAAACGAGGACCACGCATGAAAAAGCTACACTTTGGTCTCCCATCCTTCCCATGAGTCCTGCGTTGTGGTCCTACTACACTACTGTGTAGTGCTGACAGTGGTCCCTAAAGAGGCAAAGTATCCCTTGGGCATGCAAGTGTGGCTTCATTATGCCTCTGTACATGCAAGACCCTCATCACCCATGGGAAGTCTGACCTTGTGCATGTCCTTCACCCGGGGGGGTAAGTTATCCCGGATCCGGCGCATGGCCTGCAGCGGTGGCTCGTTGAAGTAGGGAGGTTCGCCGTCTATCATCTCTATCACCATGATGCCCAGGGACCAGATATCCACCTGTAACACACAATCTCCTTGTAAACTCCACTGGCAATGCAGAGAGGGGGTAATGGGCTCAACTTGTGGGCTCATGCAAACCTCCCAGCTGGCTCATGATGCTGTACCTGGTGTCTGTGGCCAGTCCAAGCCAACAGTCTGGTGAGCCATCACCGTAAATCTTTCTTTTTTAACCAGCCAACAACAATCTTTTCTTCTGAGCAGTAAGTGCAGTAAAGAATGACATCAGAAATTACTTACAAACCCAGGTCTGCAGCCAGTTTAGGTGATGGCCACTGGAAGCACTGCTAAGGCACGCTCCTTTGAGAGGCTGCTCCACCGCATTTCAGCTGTGCCAATTTGCACCTGGTGACTATTTGCCCCAGGCTGGTGCTACAGAAAGGTGCAGCCAGTGGGAGAGCAGAGTACGATTCAGCTGCTGTGAAATCAGTTATTCTATTTCCCCTCAATATTAAAGACTACAGGAACTCCATCCGAGACTGCAAGGCAAACACAAGCGCTTACTACACCCGGGCCAGTTTCCAGCCATTACAGGCAACATGGTATATAATCCCTTTGGAAAGTGACTCAGCTTCAGCTTCAAAAAAACACCTCAAAATTACTTTTTTTTTAGTCCTGACCTGCTGCAGAGCTGCTCCAGAATCCCAGTCCTCTGACGACTGTAATTCCCGTCATTTGCCAGCCCAAATACAGCCAATGCCAGCTCGTACTGCTTTTGCACTTGTGCCAAGACTTCAGCTTAGAGCCTCTTCCCCTTCTCCCCTCCCCCTCCCGCCCCCCTTTTCCCTTCTGGTGGGAAACCTAATGTAGCTGTGAATTCTGGTGCTTTATAATCCCTTCAGTGTTATTAATGGGCTAATAATAGCTGATGTTATTATCCCTGAAATGCCTCCTACAATGCCACACACCCCGAGTGGACGCTGGTGCCCGCAGGGTGCTCTCGCTCTGGGGCGGGCGATGGGTCCCTGCTGTGTGATGTGAAGATGCAGAATCTGCCATCTCAGGCCTCGGCTCATTTCCCCCTCTCTGTGTGTGTATCTATATATCTATATATGTATAAATATGTCTATGTATGTGTGTATATATATATGTATATATGTGTGTGTATCTGTGTGTAAATATATACCTGTCTATATAGCTGTACTTGTCGTGCAGGTTTCCTCTCTTCAGCTGTTACTACAGGCACTATCAAGCAGAAGATGCCTCTCCTCACCAGGCAGAGGAGAGAATGCAGCCGTGTCCCTGGCGGGGAGGCGTGAGTCACTGTCAGGGCTGAGCAGGGGAGAGGGGACTGCTCTTCCCAGGCTGGGGGTGCACAAGTGCCGTGACTCAGAGCTTCCTCATGGATGGGGTACGGCACTGCAGAGCTCCCGGGTCCCCACCCACAGGCTCTTTCTGGTCTCATCTGAAGGGCTCCAATAAAAACTTGGAATTGCCTCTTTTTCAGACCATTTGGCAGGGTTTAAAATAGCTCCCACCTTCCCCC